TTTTTTTTTTGGTTGTAGTTGTCGTTGTTTGGCAGGTCCAGGCTGGATTCGAACTCGCCAGCTCTGGTATATTTGGCTGGCATCCTAGCCGCTGAGTTATAGGCACTGAGCCACAAAACCCTTTTTCTACACCCCTTCCTCCCACTCCTAGATCATCTCACTTGGTAAGTTGGCTGTTGTACAAGCAAAATAAAGTGTTTTACCTACCACCTACCCCCACCAACCTTTCTTTGGGTCTCAGGTATGTTTCAGCAACATTACCTGCATTCTGCGGCTGGCAGGCCTGGTCCCTGGCATGTTGCCATCTGTGATGCTGAGGAAGGGGCTATATCCAAAGCCACCTGACAACATACGGTTCATATGCTGACGGTGAACAGCAAAAGGGTCCCTGAGGAGTAAACATATAGTATGGGTGGCAGAAAGGCCAACCCTCAAACCGCCCCCCTCAAAAAAACCAGGGCAGCCTACTTCCTGCTAAGGCAGAGCTAGAGCTCAGGTTCCAACCAGTTCTGAGCATTCCCAGCAATGGGAACCCAAATGTATGTCTGAACTGCTCAGAGAAACACGAAGTGGAGTGGGAGTGCTCTAGAGCAGGAGGGAGAGGGAATACTCACATCAGAAACATGGGATCCTCAGGCTCCGCATCCCTCATGAAGCGGAACATCCTGATCTTAGCTCCAGGGGGCTCCACACTGGAAAGATGTGAAGGCTCAGATACTTGGAGGTGGCCCGGCTTTTTGCACACCCACTCAGTGCAGGGACTCTCAGAGCACTGTCCCTTCCAAATACTGTAACTGAACCTCTAAACTCCAGGGAGACCCTTCTTCAGGTGCTCCACACAACCCTCTACGGCGAGAAGAGCTCTTCAAACCTCTGTCTCAATTAGGGCTGTGGAAAATTTTTCCAAGCCTCTCAGGTGTTTGCCTACTCCACTCAGGGCCATCCTCTTCCCAGAGCCCTGGCCAGAGACATACTCCTCTTCTCCCGACACCACCGTTCTAGATAAGAACCCCCAGTGCCTGCCCTGCCCCATTAATGACCCCAGCTACCCCGCTTCCTCTTTATCTCCCGCCGTCTCCAGGCCTATCCCGGCCTCACTATGCCCACTTCACAGGTCAGTTGCTCCCCAGCTCCTGCCTTCAAGGCAAGCCAGACTCTCCTTCCTCCCCGCAATCCGGACTCCCAGACCCTGCAGCCCCGTGGGCCGGCTCCCGCCCCGGGCTGCCCGCTCTGCTCGAGCCTCACCGGTCCCCGACTGGGGTTCAGCGGCCCATCCGGCCAGCTTCGCTTCTCAGTGCGCTGCAGGATCAGGGTCGTGGCCCGGAACGCGTAGATTGGTCTGGGATGGAGCTCTTCGGCCTCCCGCGCCGCCTCCTCCCACAGCTGCCACCTCCGTTCCCCCTCGGCCCGCGGAGCCGAACCCAGGCCAGGCCCGGGCGGAAATGACGTCACGATGGGACCGCCCACCCCGGGCCACCCCAGAGGATCCCCGCCCCCTAGCGTAGGTGGGAGGAGGCTGAGGTTGCGCTCCGGGGGCTGTGGGGTGGGGGGAGCGGCGCGCACGGGAGTGGATCCTCTGGGGACCAAGGGAGGGGAGGATCCATTAACAAGCTGGATTTGGGTGCTGTGGAAAACAGGAAGAGACTCCCTGTAAGGGTGAGGAGGAGGAGAGGCATCCACTCTTTGGGAGGGACATGGTGAAGCAGAGTAGGCGAGGGGGCAGGGCGGTGCACCGTGTTCTCTCAGGAGAAACGGGAGGGAAGGACGCGGGGCAGATACCCTTGCGGGAGGGGCGGGCTCTCTGTGGGCGAGGAGCAGAGGCAGAGCCCTGCGGGGAGCTTTTAATCTGCTAATGCTTTATGTTCCATTATTGGAGTGGTAGTGACATGGGAGGTTTTTTAATTTCTTATTTTTGTTTGTTCGGTTTTTTGAGACAGAGTCTTACTGTGTTGCCGGGGCTAGAGTGCTGTGGCATCAGGCTAGCTCACAGCGTTCAAACTCGTATGTTCAAACAATACTCCTGCCTCAGCCTCAGGAGTAGCTGGGAGTAAAGGCGCAGTCCGCCTGGCTAGTTATTCTATTTTTAGCAGAGATGAGCTCTCACTCTTGTTCAAGCTGGTCTTGAACTCCTGAGCTCAAGGGATCCTCCCGCCTGAGCCTCCCAGAGTGCTAGGATTACAAATGTGAGCCACTGTGCCAGGAATTATTTATATCCTACTGCTCAAGGTCATCGCTGAGGTCTGATTTTTCACGCGTTTGCCTTCTGATGGTACATGTTATCGTTCGGTGCACACAGTCTAGTCACTACTGCAAATAGTGACATGATGGGAGCTTGTAAAAAAGTGATGGGAATTTTTGGAAAATTTATTAAGAACAATCCAAAGACAGTAAATACAACTTTACTGCACTACATCTTATACTAGCATTTTTCTCCTATTCTCTACTAGTTAATGCTATTGTGCTGCAAAAAGCAAATACTGAAATTATTGTTGTCTTAGTTATGGGTTTGACATGTTGCATTTTCCATTTTGGGTCTTTAGGCAAAAGACCCTTCCCACTAGTACTAATAATATCTTTTTCCCTTTCTTTAGTTGAAACCATTTTAGAACTCCCAAGATGCCTTGACTTCTTAAGTATACATGAAATAACTGACCTGTTAGATGACAGCATAGAAGCAAGTGCTATAGTGATGCAACCACCTGAAAATGCTACAGCACCTGTTTCTGATGAGGACTCAAGAGTTGAAGAAGGTGGAATAATAAATAATCCTCCAGGCTCTTTGATGTGCATACCAGCATATTTTATTCAAGATGGCTATAATGCTGAGTCTGACTCAGATGATCCCTCACATGCACTTAAAGATGACTCTCTTGATGATGAAGTTCCATCTATGTCTATTGCACAGCAACCTTCTCCATCAAAGAAAAAGAAAGTGAGACCCCATCTCTCCTAAAAGAAAAACTAAGGCAAGAGGATCGCTTTAGCTCAAGACCTTGAGGTTGATATGAGCTATGACACCATGGTACTCTACTCAGGGCACCAGAATTAGACTCTATCTCAAAAAAAAAAAGTGACAAAAATTGTTCACAAATGGAATAAGGCTGACTTTGTCTGCATGGCCCATAGAGTTACAGAACCACTCAATGATTCATTTCTTCACCAAAATGAGAACTCCCACAGAAATTCTTGAACTTTTTCTTGATGACAAGCTCGTTGAACTCTTTGTCTTGTACTCCAAGTTAGATGCTGCAAGTAAGGGGGTAATCTTGGCTGGAGTAGTTCTGAGTTGAAATGTTTTCTGGGCCTGGATGCGATGGCTAACGCCTGTAATCCCAGCACTCTGGGAGGCCCAGGCAGGCAGATTGTACCAGCCTGAGCTACTTCGAGATCCTGCTTCTAAAAATAGCTAGGCACTGGACAGTGCCTGTGGCTCAAGGTTAGGGTGCTGGCCCCATATGCCAGAGGTGGCAGGTTCAAACTCAGGCCTGGCCAAAAACTGCAAAAAAAAAAAAAAAAAGAAAAGAAAAATTAGCTGAATGTTGTCAGGCTCCTGTAGTCCCAGCTACTCAGGAGTTGAGGTTGCTGTGAGCTAGGCTGATGCCATGGCACTCTAGCCAGGACAATAAAGTGAGACTCTAAGAGAA